TCCTTATATCCTCGTGTGATGTCTGCCCTTTGAAGATCGCGTTCTTGTCCTGTTTTGCCTACCTCCGTTGGCATGTAGGCTTCCTTCGTTCTCGCACCCTTAGGATGGCCCGAGTTATAACTCGCGTGCTGGGCCGTCCTAACAACTTTAGTTGTTTGTGCCGATTAACTAGGTATCGGATCAAGGCTGGGTCAACCGCTCTCGCTTCCTTTACCCATACCTTGGCAGACTGTCCAAATCAAGCCAACAGGAAATTAGATTTAGCACAGTGGCTGAGATGAAGTGAATTGAGCTCTGCCGACGTCTAACGCGTGCCACACACGGGCTCGGCCCTCATAAAAGTTGCAAAAGGGTAAAATTAGGAGAACCCAATGCAGTTGAGCAGTTTCTTTACTATATTCCTGGTGGTTGGCCATCTTAACTCGCTCACTTTTAAACGCATGTGCTGGTGTCATTCTACGTAGCCTCAAAAATGAGTTGCACTGCAGATGTGTCGTAACAAACCGCATTTAGCCAGCTGTACAGTGCCCACGCGAGGCCATAACTATTGTCGTACAGGTGATGACAGGTTTAATGGCAGGCTCAAAAGTAGGCCTTCACGCAGAGGCAGCCACCCATCAACAGGTGGTTGATACGTTTCGACGGTCGACTGGTACATGGAAGTGAAGCCGACGCTAGGGAACCTATCCAAATGGTAGATTAAGGCATAATTGTAACGCATTGGGGTCTAGCACGATGCGCCATAAGTTGTGGCTGTGAGCGTTGTCAACTGATCGTTCTCATGACTTAAAGTCGTGGTGCAATGACTCTTTCACAGCACTGGAACTGAATATGGACGTTTGTACGACCCTAGTTGGAGTTTGCCGTACAAGCCTGGAAACCTTGGATAGTCAAAGACAGAAAAACCCTTGAAAGGGTTCAACGACGAGCAACTAAGTTGGTGCGAGCCCAAGCTTGCCTTCCTTATGAGACGCGACTGACCAATCTTGACTTATTTCCTTTGGATTACAGACAGCTGCGCGGTGACCTATTACAGGCATTTCGCATGCTACGGGGTCAGGATTGTTGCCTAGCATCCAACGATTTCTTTGAGCTGGCCACTCCCACTAGCTTGCGCAGAGAGGCTCTCAAAAAACGTGTGACTGGGGCAGGATTGGACACACGAAAATTCATCTTCTCTAAGAGGGTAATTAAGGCATGGAATGCTCTGCCCGCAGACATTGTCATGTCCCCATCCCTGGACACGTTTAAGATGGAGTTGGGTCAGTATAACAAGAACGTTCTATGAAATGAAGCCAGAGTAATTACATTTCTAAAAAAACATACTGCTCGCTACTTTTCAGTAATTTTGTTTATTGTAACTACTGAGGATCGTGGTGCGCTCCCGTGTTTCGTCAACTGGTCCGCAGACCCGGTAACCTGCAAAGGCGTATGATGGGCGCATCTTCGACACTCAGTGATGTTCCCGTGACCTCTGCGAGCTTCTCCTCGTGTAACCCCTAGGATATTGATAAAGACCGCGATAGCCCCCTCCTGACATGCTTCAAATACTTTCAGCAGCAGGCCATCCGATTTAAATATACCCTTCACCCTACCCCCGCCCACGGGCGACAGTTTTTCTCCTTAAAATCCCGCAAATGGCATTCAAACCTATAATTATGAACAATGCCTAAGGAGTTTTTTTTACTGTCTGCCCTTTTTACGCAGTTCCATTTTTGGCAACGCCACATGTTCTGCATGATAGCTGCTCTGTACCAAGAGGGGGTTCAAAGGTATTATCTTATATTTCCCTAATAGAGCCTAACCTGACCTGACCTACACCAACCTCCAGATGGTGTTGACCGTCGGCTGAAGCCGTTACTAGGGTGCAGCCAATGCGATTAGTAGTCTTGTGAAAGCGGGGTTGAGCGCTATGCGGTGGTTCAAGGCAGAATGAAACGACAACCCTCCCCCCCTCCTATGCATCCTATCTGTAAAAATGAACAGTCGAGGGCGGGTACTTATTCAGACAAAGATACTGCAAAGTGAGGAGAAACAAAGGGAGAAATGGGGGAGACAGAGGGACCGATGGTGTTAACAGAGCGTCATACCAACAGTAAAAACAAGGTGGCTTAAACGTACGTTTACTGTCATCGCCAGCTGTGGAGACCGAAGGATAGGAGATATAACGCTGACTGAAGTGCGTGAGGATCAACTGGCGCACACCAATGCTAGCAGCGAATTTGGCTGCTCCAGCAGCCGAGGTGTGTCCTTTCTCGTAGCTATGCTCGCCATGTGCCGAGAGGACAGTGGCCTCGTGTACT